CCCATAAGTGTCATGGACTGGGAGTCAAGTTTTGAACACATGGTACTTTGGTGGACACTTACCCAAAACAGCACCTCTTGTCAGTGGCATGCACTCTGGCCGTTAAAAGTTTTGAGTGTCAACATTGGTTTCGCTACACCAGATTTGTGTTTAGTTTCATTGGTTCTTCAGTTTTGCTGCTCTGTAAAGAGATTAATGACTGTTCTAAGTCAGCGCTTCCCAAAATTCGGTCTCTGGGCCAGCAGTAACATTATCATCTGGAAAGTGGTTAGAAATGCAAATTTCAGCCCATCCCCTGCTTAATCAGAAGCCTCAAGGCTAGAGCCCAGTGGTGTGTGTTTTAACCAGTCCTCTCCAACTTGCCATCCATTCCTCAGAGCTTTTTGCTTTCATAAACATCTGAGTAGGTACTCCTTGAACAGTTAGCTAATACTAGTCAAAGGCAAGAAAAGACCCTTCAATCTTCTTTAGGTTAGTGGTGTGAGGGCCCAGGGTGGGTTTGCTCAGTCTGAAGATGTAGCATATAAGTGCTGATTGGATGAAAAGTTACTGCTTTTTTTGTTTTTTTTTTTTTGAGACAGGATTTCTCTGTGTAGCTTTGGAGCCTGTCCTGGAACTCACTCTGTAGACCAGGTTGGACTTGAACACACAGAGATTCGCCTGCTTCTGCTGGGATTAAAGGTGTGAACCACCACCACCCATAGAAAAGTTACATTTTTTAAAAAAGATCTGTGTAGTGGAATGCATTGCAAGTGGTATGTGCAGCTATCATAGTTAAAAAAAAAAAAACAGTTTCTGTATTTTATGATGCTTGATATCTTGGGATGGTCCAGAGCCCTAGAAGGGCTATTTCTTCCAAAGTAAGCTGATTTCCAGAGATGACAATAATAAATAAATAAATAAAACTTGTCTGGGCCTTTGATAGACAAACCAATGAATCCTAAACTTGTATCCCCATCTTCTCCTTTTGTGAAGATACCACAGTTAGGTACACTGCTTTGCTGTTCCCAGTCACCCAAGGGCTGGATCCCAGTGCGCTATAGATTGTTCCTATTGACTGAATCCTCCTGAAATTATTCAAACCACCCACTCTGAAGCCTGTTCGGCTGCTAACCTTACCTCCCCGATGCTCATGGTTTCCCCTCCCCTCTTCTGTGTACCAACTAGCTATCTCTGTAGCATGATGTGCATCCCTCCCCCTACATGGAAATTAATAAATGTCTTTCAAAGGTTGTCTCTGTGTTTGTTGTCTAATCATTCTCTATTAACAGTACATATTAGACAGAGTTGAGTCTCCATTAGGCTCTGACATTTACTTATCATAAGAACTTACTTTTTCTCAGCCAGCTTTAGTACCTAGAGAATACAGCAAAACAGAAAATATAATCTCCATAAAGTGCATGATAACTGAAATGCACAGTTGTATGGTCAATGTGGTAAGAAAATCAAGGAATCAAGTGGAACACATGTGAATGAATGAGAAAGGGGTAACACTGGGGATGGGACGATTTAAGCAGGGACAGTGTTAGGGAGATGGGGGAAAGGAGGGAGTAGGAGGGACACCATCAACTAAAATGAAATATGTAGGAAGATTCATAAGGATACCTGGTACTCTATAAGCTGGTTAAAATGTAAAAAGAAAAAATCAAGGGATGAAAATCCCCCCCTTGGCTCAAACATGACCAGGTACATCACATGGATAAAGAGCTGTTCAGATTTATCTATCCTTCCTAATGTTCAATTAGCAACAGCAACACAGCAGGAGCCATTTCCTGTACTACTCTTTGTTCTCCAACTGAAAACCTTTCCCCCTGCACATTAAATGATGGCTGCTATCCCTGGGAAGGGACTAAAGTCTGATAATTAGTCTTGTAAACAAGAGAATTAAAGGGAGCATAGTTTATCCCTTCCCCTCAGCTCCAGTGTCATTTTGACACGGTGTGCCTACCTTTGCTAATTGCCTGATAAGCAAACTTATCAGGCAATAGGGGAGAGAGCAGGAATTTGGAATTTGAAACCATGTTGGCCTTCCGACAAATGTGTTCCTGTGACCTTCAGCAAATCACTTAATAGTTCCAAACTTCAATTTCTTTATCTGTAAGAAGGAGATAAGAATATTTACCTAGGAAAAATGTTCCAAGAGAGCAGTATAAAGTAAGTAATGTATCTTATTAGTGGGAGGCCTGGAATTTGAACGTGGCTAGTCTGAAGCTCCTAGCCAACAAACAACCAGGTCTCACCACAGCCCCTTGATGCCACTTTCACTAGTTAGCTTTCCTGTCCAGTCTCTTTCTTCCTCCTCTACACTCTCCTCTTCCTAGTGGCTGGATGAAAATATTGTTCAGGATATGAATCATTTCCTTCTTTCCTCCTGAAATTAGTGGTCCACATGAGATTTTACAGCTTGAAACCAATGACCCCTGAAATACAGACAAACCATCAGCAGATAGATAGATGCACTCCTGATTAGCGCAAAGAGTCATCAGCCAGCAGCCCAGCCAGTTTGGCCACTGGGTTCAGCTCTCTGGATTCAGTCATCTTAGGAGAAATGTTTGTTGTTTATTTATTTAGACAATTCCATGTAACCCAGGCTGGCCTCAAACTCATTATATAGCCAAAAATGACCTTGAGTCCCTGATTTTCTTGCTTCTATTTCCTGAGTATTGGGATTGCAAGATGCTGCCATCATTTTGGCTAAGACAGTCTCATGTGTGCATCCCACAGGGCAAGTGGGAAATGTTCAAGTACCCATGTCAGGAAGGCCTTGGCTCATCTAGAAGCCTTCCTTTATACCAGTGGTTCTCAACCTGTGGGCCACATCCCCTTTGGCAAACCTCTATCTTCAAAACTGCTTACAATTCATAACAGTAGCAAACTTACAGTTATGAAACGAAAATAATTTTATGGTTGGGGGGTCACAGCAACATGAGAAACTGTACTAAAGGAAACTGCAGCATTAGGAAGGTTGAGAACCACTGCTGTATGCTGTCAAGCTCCTGATTCTTGCAGGCCCTGTTTTTTTTTGAGAAGTCTTACTTTTGTTTTTGCTTCTTTGGATACTGCCATTCTCACCAGGCCCATATGCTCCAGGGAGGATTTTGTGGTGAAGTTGCCAAAGGTTTCAAGTCTTTCCATGCCTGAGTCCAGTTGACCATTCTTGAATTTCTAGTTTGACTTTTTGGTTTTCTTTCAGGAGTCTTTACACATGACCAGGCACTTGAGAAAATCCCAGGAAACTTCTTTTGAGTCACTAATTGATTATATTTAAGGCCCAACCTCGTTTGGAATGTTTTTATTTGAAACAATTAAGTGGGTGTATATCAACAAATTTAACCAGCAGAGTGACTTGCCAGTTAACTCATTTCATAGCTCTGGAGGAGTAGCCTTTTTGGACAGTTCCTTTCCCTGGAGATAATGACTTTTAATTACCAAACACACAGGATAGTATTCTGTAGTTTCAATGTTGTAGTTTTAGGTAAAGATCCATTTCTTTGACACAACAGTTTCTTTTCCAAGAGCATAGATTGGAACAATTTTGAGATGCAGGCAGTAACAATTTTTTGTCTGCAATGGGTCAGAGAGTAAAACATTCTATGCTTTACATACAAAAAAACAAAAACAAAAAAAACAAAAAACTGTCACAGACCTATAAAACTTTGGCCTTGTAGCATGAATGCAGTCATAAATGTTCCAGCAAAACTTTATTTATAAAAACAGGGAATAGCTGGGTGGTGGTGGTGCATGCCTTTAATCACAGCACCTGGGAGGCAGAGGCACTCCGATTTCTGTGAGTTCAAGATCAGCCTCATTTACAGAGCTAGTTTCAGGACAGCCAGAGCTGTTACACAGAGAAACCCTGCCTTGAAGAACCAACAACCAACATACAAAAACTACCAACAACAAAAAAATGGGTTTTACCACATTAGGCTCATATGTATTTTCTTTTACAGCCCTCTTCTTTGGCCTTTTGTGAATACACATTATTCATCTGTGCCTTGAGCTTACTTATTTTGGCCTAAAGTGGTTTTTTTTTGGTCTTAATTTGTTTTTAAGTGCCTTTTATTTTCAGAGCAAGATAATCACTATTTCCCAAAGGCTGAAAATTTAATGCGGAAAATGACACATGATGAAGAATGCACCTTATAAGGAATGATTCATCCACACCCTATCTTCCATCAATCCCACCCACTCCCAAATGTTACTTTAATTTCTTTGGTGAGTAAAAGGAACCTTCATTACATTACATTTTATTCAGCAAGCTATTTTTAACATCTTGAGAGTTGTGTTTTTACTTCCATAGACTTATTTTCATGAATTAAGGCATTCTTTTCTACACATGTCTGAGTTTGGAATGGAAAGCATGAAGTTTTCTGTTACTATCTCTGAAAGTGTGTTTAGTTTTTTGGTTTACTTTTGTATTTTTATTTACTTTTTATTCAGAAGTTGAACGTTCAAGAATGAAGTCCAGTCTGCGAATGATGTATGGGTGGAACTTTGGAGGAACTCCCAAATTTTTCTCACCTCTGGGGATTCACCAGTCTAAGGCAGGTGAGGGCTACTCCAGCTGGAAACCCGCAGTCACCATTCTAAATCAGTTAGGACCCTTGAGGTTCAAGGAGATTGTGGGGAGAAAGAAAGAGATAGGTAGATCTCTCTTGTCATCCTTGAGTGGCTGGTCTCTTCCCTGTGCACAGGGAGCATTTTCAGCTGCTGATACTCAGTGTCTCACAATTATCCCATGTTATCACCTTTCCTTATATAGTCCTGTGCTACCTGAGGCTGAGCTTTCATCTAGGAGTCACAAATGCATTTGCTGTCACATGCATTTGTTTGTTGTGAGATTAAAACAAGAAGGGGTCTGCCCACCTGAAGTACCATTAACAGTGGAGTATTTAGAAGCCCCACCCCCTCATGAGGAAGTGATGAGACTGGTTCCTGAAGTTGCTTTTTAACTAGGAATGAATCATTTTCCTTGCTTTTCTTTTCTCTTTCATCATGTTAGGCCAGGAACTGTTGTTGCTGGGCTTACAACACTGAAAATCACAGATACTGTCCTTGATCTCACGGAGCTCACGTTCCTAAGATGTATTATGGAACCAAGAACATTCTTGGAGAAAAATCCATCAGCAATGAGGTACTGTCAACAGCCAATGAGTAAAGAAGGGCTCCAACATGCTATGATGTTGTTAGCCTGCTCAAATTCTGCCTGAGTTTGGGGTGCTATGAAACAAGCAGAAAGTAAGGTTAATATGTGTTAGGGAGCCGGGTGGGGACTGATGCCTTTAATCCCAGCACTCCTGTGGCAGAGGCAGGCAGATGAGTGTGAGGCCATCTTGGTCTGTAGAGTAAGTTCCAGGACAGCCAAGACTGTTACACAGAGAAATTCTGTCTGGAAAAACCAAAAAACATATATGTTATGGAATACATTTTTAAACCTGGGAAAATCCCAGCTATGGGATTAAGGCCTGACCAAACCTAACCAGATAGGAACATGAACATACAGCCATGTTGTACCTCCTTAATTGGTATCCGATGAATTCTGGTATCACTGCCAAAGCTATGTGCACAAATTGTGTTTTTCTGGTTTACAGGTATTCCTGAATCTTCCTCCTACACTTCCACGATCTTATGACCTCTGGCTGGACAGGAACAGGTGAGTAGTAATTCATTGTGCTGAGAATTAGTGATATCTGTATCATTAAGTAATGAAATCCAAACCATTTCAATAGTATTGGAATGTCAGTTGCCCTTCCCCATGAAGAAAGCAGCTTTTCATAATTCGAATTTGAACGTGATCAAATACTGTGATTAATCAATCTTTCTAGTGGAACCAAATAAGTCTGAATTCATTCTGGGGATCTGCTAAATAAACACTTATGGAAACACAAAAACATACTAAACAGTGCTGCCTGGGAGGAAGTAGAGAACAAAATACATGGGTGCCGTCAAAACACACAGGAAAAAAAAATCCTTTACTATATCTTTTGTGGCTGCTAATAAGCTTAATTCATATACTTAACTGTCTTTTGAACAATTCTTAGCACCACAAAGACTACTCTTCCTCTTCCTAAAAAAAAAGAGAAATAAATAAAAAGCTCCAGTCCAAACCAAGGGCCTCTGTAGGTTGTCTTAATTGCTACTTTGCACTGCAGTGGACTTTGACTGATTTTTGGCACATGCTATCATACACAAAGTTCCTAAAATAAAGTGCTCCAGGATATCCTAGGAACTCTTAGAAGGCTTTAAAAGGGGACCAGCACACTGAAAGAGTAACTTTTGAGGACGGCAGTTCAGACAAGGAGAATGACTGTCATAGCAGAATTACGTGACTAATTGAGACCTTGCAGTGGCTGCAGACTGTTCTCACCACCTAACTTATCATGGTTAGGGGGAGGCTGAGAATCCAGTTTTGATAAAGACAATTGTTTCTCTCCCCTCCCCAAGTGACTATACATTTAAATAGCTAAAACATCTGTGCAGCAACCTAGTAAAACATGTATACTCGGAACGCTTGAGCAAAAAGCCTGCCAAACAATCGCTTGAGAGGGACTTTGCTGAGAGAGAGCACCAAGATAAAGCAACTGCTGTTTGTTTTGTCTAGTCAAGGGAGAGCCAAGGCAACCAATATTCTGAGTTTCTTTTATTTCATTTGTGAAAGATTATTTGAGAAAGGGTGTCGAGGGGAAGTTTCCTGACAGGAATTTTTTAAAGCTGTCTATTAGCAGACGAGCAGGAAAGCCTTGGATGTCAACGCCTGACAAACTCTTGAGACCAGCTACCAAACCACGAAAAGTGACTTTCTTTCTGAGTCTTCTCTTCGACCCTTCTGATGGAAGCAGAAACAGGGAACACCATGGAGCATGAAAAGGGGACCAACCGAGGCATTCGAATTGCACTGGCCCTGTTCATTGGTGGCACCTTGGTGCTGGGCACACTGCTCTTTCTAGGTAAGTGGAACTCCAGAGGCCAGAGGAACTAGGCATCTGTGGTGAAACTTTCTAATTCTTTATTCTAGAAATCCTTGTCATAATGCAGGCTGTTTGCTTATGCTAAAAATAAAATAAGGATGCACACTTAGTTTCAGTTAGCTATGTCAATGAAAAAGGAGGCTTTTCTTTAGTACTAAATATATAGTCTAGGAGGCAAAGTGCATTAGAAAGTGGTTTGGAATGACTGGTGGATTTGATTGCACTGAGGCAAAAAACATCATGTATTAAATTTCACAAAATGAGTGTTTATGAATTCATAGTTAGATACTTGCATTTGTTTTGTGAGGGAACAACCAAACTGGAATTTCATTTTGCTTGACTTTTGATCATGTTCACTTGAACAAGTTACAAAGTGCAATTCACAAAAGATAAATCGGTCCTTAAATGGAATTCTTTGAGTCATTTTAAATCCAGTGATTTTGATAGATGCAAAAATGGTTAACTCCACCTTTCTAATAGATTTACAAATGAATGTAGAGGAAAGCAGAGGGTTTCCTCTTAAGATTTGAAAGGCATTATGATTCAATTACTTTAATAACTCCTGTGAGAATGATGTACTCAGAATGTGTAGACAAAAGCATATTCCTAGGAGGGGGGATTAAATCTGTGAGAAAGGGATCAGGGATGCTCAAAAGTTTAGGCTTTCCAATCCCCCGGCTATTTTCCTTCGTAAATCTTTTCTTATATAACTCATAGTATTTCATTGGCTTGAAGGTCACCTAGAAACAAGCCCTATTCTTAGGAGATTCTAGGTGTACTTTGAAATGCAGCAGGCCTGGAAACATTCCTTGGCATACACAGGATGCGGGAGGCCATGTTTATTTTGGCAAGAGAAAACCAGTAATTAACTTTTAAAAGAGTTAGGCTTGTGTGGTTGAGAACCCTGCTAAAAACGAGCAAACCACCTTCCCATGTTTTCTATGGCTGAAGATTTAGGAAATTAGACCAGTATATTGCTTTCTGGTGAAGCTAGACCTCCTACTCTTGTGACTGAATTTGTGGTTCTTAAAAAACTGTTGTGAGGTTTCTCCAAAGTTGGCTTTAGACAATCTGCTTCCTGAAATTTAAAACTGGAGGAGAAATTTTATGGGCATGCAAAGGGACTACACATGACGTGGGAAGTGATTAAGGGGCTTGGTTTACACATACTGCCAGACTTACAAATCCAAGTGGTCATCATATAAGTCAAAATATTTGCTCTTTTCCATGGTATTAGTAGCACTTTGCAGCTTTCTTCAATTGTACTTTTATGATCGTTACACTTGGAGACCATAGCATTCTAGAAGATGGTCAGTTATAGCAAATCTTTGTTTCTTTTAAGAAAATGTTTTTTGACACAGAACTAAAGATTTTAGGTATAGTAAACTTCACTAAATCAAACATTGGTATTATGGAGGAGGCCTAGTTAGGAAAAGTAACTTCCCAGTATGTTACTAACCTGGCTCTCACTTTAAATCTTCTGGAGAACATCTAATGATGATTGACAATAAACAGGACCAGCTAAGGGTGTGGCCTCATTCTACTTTTGCTACTCAGTGTGGTAACTGCCAGCATCAGCATCTCTTGAGAGCTTGAGCTCCACCCCCAGATCTACTGATTCCCAGTCTGTGTTTTCACAAGACACCAGATTTGTTTGCATGTGCAATTTTGGGAAACATTGTTTCAGAGGGCATCTATCTGAGGGTCCACACTCAGAAATATTTGTTTGTTTGTTTATTTATGAGCAGTTTCTCACTATGTATCCCTGTCTGGCCTGGAATTTACTATATAGATCAGGCTGTGAATATCACATCTTGCTGTTATATTCCTGCCTCTGCCTCCCAAATGCTGGGATTCTAAGCCTGTACCACCATGCCCACCTAGGAACCTTCATATTTTTGTCAACTATTTCAGCACAATGCTTTCCCCCTACCTTTCTTCACTGTCCGCCCCCAGGCTCCCCTACTCTGCATGTCTCTTGCTAAATGCCTGCAAAACAATGGTCTTCATGACAACATTCTAGTTAGGATCTTCCCTTGAAGGTATTTCCCCGTTGACTTGGCAGTATGTGCTCTGCCTGTTCAAGTTCATTCTGCAATGTCTAGTATCCTGCCTTACCTTTCCTTTGGCTTTGTTGTCTACAGAAAGTATGGTTGCCAGTGGTCTGAGGTGGTTTCAGAGAACCTAGGGGATTTTAAAATATCGAGTATAGCAATAGACCCGCAAACAATTTATTTCAAGTGTTCTTTTCTTCTTTCTTTCTCCTTCCTCCCTAAAATCTGTTTCTCAGATGCAGTGGTCTGCAAGCTTTTCCTGTCAAGACCAGATGATAGTAAATATTTCTGGCTCTACTGCCATACATTCCTTGATGCAAGATTCTGTTTCATTGTGTCACTAAAGCATCCACAGGCAAAATGTGTACACATAGGAGACAGAGAGATACTCTTTCTGGATACTGAAGCTTGAATTTCATATACTTTTCATATGCCGTAAAATATGATCTGTCATTGCATTTCTCCCCAACTATCAACAATACAAAGGCCCTTCCCAGAAATAGGAGCAGGAAGTGGCCTCCATTTGGCTTGTGGGTTCCAGTCGGTACTTGGGTGATGATGACCTCAGCCATGTGATCTTTCTCATGCTTTCTGTTTTGTTTTTCTGTGTTGGGGGTGGAAATCAGGACATTGCACACACGCTGTAAGTACTCTATCATTGAGCCATGTTACCAGCCTCACTCTCACACTCTTGATCTGTGGATGTCTCCAGTACATCTTGGGGGGATTCTAAACTGAGAAGCTAAACTGATGCTTGACTTGTTTTAAAGCTTCTAACTAGTAAAAAGTAATGTTTGATTGTTTTATGGTAAAATATTTTCCATTTCATTCATTTCTGTTTCATTCATTTTCTTTATTTGGGCTTGTTGATCCTTGTCTGTTTTCAGGACTTTAACCACATGGATATAATGTTCTCTTTTGAGGGATAGGGTCTTTGTCTGTGTCCCAACTAATTACATTCAAAACCTTCTTTATATACACTGTCAGGCAAAAAGAACTGATACTAGTTTGAATTCCTTACATGTCTGTGTCAATGATTTTTAATGAAAGAAATAAGGCTAATTTTGGAAGACTTTGAGACAACGTCTCATGTAGCCTAGGCTGGCTTGGAAGTCGCAAAGGTTGTCCTTTGAATCCCCGATTTTCCAACCTCTTCCACCAAAGTTTTGAAAAAGAATAATTTCTTAGCTATTTCATGAGATTAAAAAAATAAAGCTACTATCACAAAAGTATTATCTAGAGTAATAAAATTATTATTATTTACAGTAAAGTTTATATTTCCATGATAAAAATACCACCTTCTCATTAAAGAACATTTGGTAAATACATAAAAATTATCTAAAAGGAAGAACTCCCCGTGATTCCACCATCAAGGTACATTGGAATGTCCCATACTGAACTTTATGGTGTCTATATATTTTTATCTATTTTTTCTTGCAAAAAAATCAAAACACTCCTTTTAGGTTATAAAACTTCTTTTGAAAATAGGCCTGAGTGATTCTGTAGGCAGGTTTCTTGAATCTATAATGTAACACAGATAAAAAGGCTGTTTGGAGGATGGGAGCAGAGAAAAGAACAAAGACAAAGCCGGCTCCTCTTATGATGTGGGTTCATAAATAATAAGACATGCCACACTGGCAGGTGATCTACAGGTCTGCATCTCGAGCAGAAACATAAACATTCTTAGGCTTCTTGATTGCACTTCTCAGCCCCCACGGTCTATTTCTTCATGGCCATATCTTCAAAGATTCCTTGATTCTGCTCACAGAGCACCGCAATAATGAATGCCTCTCAACTTTTCCAGCTATGGAAGAAAAACATGTATTTCAAAAAGGCTTTAGATTTTAGGCTCACATTTGCTAATGTCCAGATTCTACCTGTAGTTCAAAAACCATGCATTCTTCTATGCTTTTGCAAAAGTGCTCATGTCCAACTTGTGCCTGTATCCTGTATGCAGCAAAGACAGCTATGAGTGTGGCCCAGCACAAGTTCTTAACTTACTTAAAACATTATGAGATTAAAAACATGCTTTTATTTTGTGATTTCATTGCATGATTCCCAGCATGAACTTTGTAGAAGACACTGTCATGTCAAAGGCCTGGAAATTCCTGATAGGTTGTTGCCAGTTGGGAAAATTAAACATGGGTGAAAACTATTTCAATTGTACAGGAATGTGTGTGTGTGTGTGTGTGTGTGTGTGTGATAATACAGCCTGATCAGTTTGTCAGAGGCTTTGGTTTCAATCTCTGTCAACCAAATCAAAAACACATATGATGGCTGTGCCTCACAACCAGAATTTCTGACCCAGGAGAATTGGAGTGAGAATGGGCACTCTAGAGAGCTTCCAGGTACTTCTCTGGCCCTGGTGACCAGACTCCTCAACACAGCTCCAGTTTTACCCACCACTCCCTCATAGAATAGGAACGAATTATAGGACAACCATGAGTCCTAACAAGGCTGTTTACATATTCAGCAAAGTGGTTCCTTGGTGTTGAGCCAACTTGATTTTTGACTACCATGTCAATACTGAGAAGCATGAACTAATAGAAAATCTCTTGCATCATCTGTGCCCAAATGTGTTTTACTCGATGGTGGTCTGCTTCAAGTCAATCATTTATTTTGGTCTGTTTTTTCAGTGAGTCAAGGTCTCCTCAGCTTCCAGGCTAAACAAGAGTACTGCCTGAAGCCAGAGTGCATAGAAGCCGGTAAGTCTGTTTTCCACCCTGTGTCAAGTTATAATTTTGGTACCTTGGGGAGTAGAAGAGAAAACAGGTAGTATTTTTAGTATTCTGTTTGCTTGAGGTTGACCAAATACAAAATGTAATTTTGAAGACATTTCAAGTTTACTTTCAAGGTTTGGTGTGAAGTAGTGGAGCTTAGGTTTCCTGTTTTCTTTGCAAAAACGGAGCTGTGCTATATTTCAACCTTGATGATAAGGAACTCAGGAAAGGGCTTGCAAAGCAAGCTCTCTTAAATCACACAGAGACGGTGGGTTTCCTATGGCTCTGCTTGACAGGTTCTTCTTTATTTTAAGCAGACTTTGTGTATCTTCTGGGTCAGTGGGTGTGGCCTGTTTGATTCTAAGCAGGGGCACTGACTGTGGAAATCTCTGCTTCTGCTGGAATCCCCTTGGGTTCATCTGTTCTGGGATGCATGCTGAACTTGTTAGGAGATGACAACGCCATGTATCAGTGAGGACACCAAGGCAAAGAATCATGCTTAAAGTTGCCTTGGTTGTGACACAGCTAGTAACTCCTGCTTGCATCCCATAATTAAGTTAGGGCCTAAATTTCAAGAAGCCAAATCTCTGTCTCCATCCCTCCTCCCAATTCTTCAAGGGGACAGGGCCCTAGGGCATCTTCCAAAGAGGAAGTCATAGGGCAATTAAACATGTGGGCTTTTCCTCTTGACTGGTGGAGAAGAGATTAATGAGTGAATTCATCAAGTAGTTATTATTCATGCCAGGGACTGAGTTAGCTTTTGGTTTATATATGGTTAGGCTTATATACCAAAGAATAGGTAGAGGGAGAAAAAAATTAAAACACACACACAACACACACACACACACACACACACACACACACACGCCTGGGGATATAGCTCAATTGGTAGAGTAGTTGCCTATCATTCATGAAGCTCTGAATTCAATCCTCAGCACACATAAATTGGGCATGGTGATAAATGGCTGTAATCCCAGTACTCTGGGGGTAGAGGCAGGAGGATCAAGAGTTCAAGACCATCCATATCTACTTAGTAAGTTTGAGGCCAGCCTAGGTTACATGAAACCCTGTCTCAAAACAACAGTTAAGCAAACCAAAACCAAAATCCAGAGAAGGCACACAGTGCACAAACATATGAGCAGAAAATTAAAATAGCAAAACAGACTCATGTGTTAATAAATGATAGGATAACCTGATTGAAGGTTCTGGGTGTAGGATCTTCAAAAGGACCTTGGATAATAAGAAGGGAAATGGGGTGTGAAGAGTGAGGCCAGGGCTTTCCTGTGGGGAAAAGGTCCCATAGAGGATTGAGCTCAAAGAATGGTAGAGTGTTCCGGGTGAGGGGCACGGTGCAAGTGACCTAGGTGCCATGGGTTTGGGTTCTTCTTTAGTGGGTTAGCAAGAGTTTCTTGAAATTTTTGTGAGAAACAAACGAGCACTTAATTAAGATCATGCTAGCCAGCTGTGGTAGTACATGCCCATAGTCCTAGTACTTGGGAGATGAAGCCAACCAGGGTTACATAGTGAGTTCAAGGCCAGCATGGAGATGCATGGAAAGACCCTGTCTCAAAGTAGTTCTTAAGAACTGTCGTTCTGTAGAGAACTTGACTTTGGGGAGAAATGCAGGAAACAAAATGAGAAAGGAGGTTACAACCTGCATGCCATGTGAGGGGTGTTGCCTTGAATTTGAGATGGAGATTGCAGAAGATCTAGGAGCTGGGAGGCTTGCTGAAAGCATTGTGATAGTGACAAAGTTGAGATGTATTGTGGAAAAAGACAAGGATTTAGGGTGATGCTTAGATGTTAAACAGTGACATTAATTGAGACGGGAAAGACTTAGGTGAAAGAATTCATAAACTTCCGGTTGTGGTGGCGCACACCTTTAATCTCAGGACTCAGGAGGTAGAGACTGGTGGTTCACTGTGAGTTCAAGGCTGGGAGAGCCAGAGCTACATAATGAGAACCTTCTCTCTCCTCTCCTCTCCTCTCCTCTCCTCTCCTCTCCTCTCCTCTACACACACACTAAGGTCAACCTCTGTCTTATGCTATCAGTCCATGCTTCTCAGTATCGATATGGTACTAAAAAAACATGTTGGCTCAAAATCAAGGACCCATTTTGATAAATATGTAAATAGCCTTGCAAGGACTTGCTGTTGTTCTGAGATTACTTCTCTTATCGGGGGAGGAATAGTTTGAGTGAGTAATGCTGGAGCTGTGTCCCTGAGAGTATAGTCACAAGGGCCACAGCAGTGCTGTAGGATTGTTCTATTAAGTCTATTTTTTTGCCCCATTCTTGAGTGATCAATTTTTTTTTAACCAAGCAATGTGCTAAAAGATTCACACTTGCCATTTTTAAAATCTCATAAGAACTCTATGAAGTTGATGCCCCTAGATGACAAAATGTAGGTTTCTCAAGGCAACCTTTTTCAGGGTCACATCGTCAGTTAGGGGCAGAGGTAAGCTTCATGTCCGGATCCCGCTCCCCCTCCTTCCTTCCCTTTGTGCCAAGCTAAGTAACTCTGTGTAAGGCCTTTCTTTCTTTTGTTTTTCAAGACACTAGATTCACTTGAGGGTCTAGTGACTAGACAGCCCTTTCAGCTTCCCTAGAAGCTGATTGTCCCTGGAAATGTGATGTTTTCCCCCTTTGGAATGTTGTACATTTCCCATGCCCTTTCCTGTTTCTAACCTGAGCAGTTGGCCTGGAGTATTAGCAAGTGGAGAGAGCATTTCATGGTGTAAGGTGAGGGACCAGGTGCTACAGTCAAATGGCAGGTTTTACATTTCACGTTACTTGGTACTTTAGCTGTGGTAGAGTTCTTGCAGATCTGAGAAATTAAAATATTTGAGCCATAAGTGTTCAATTTTAGTTTAGATAACTTTAGGGACAGAAGGCCAGTTACTTCATGAATTGTGTTTATTACAAATCATAATAACGCCAGAGTAGAATGGACAGAGCGATGTTTTGTGATGTCGCCTTCTGCCACCTAGTGTGTTTTGCCTTGTTGGCCTGTTTTTAATTTTCACGTTAGTAAATAGCTTCCCAGTGTTAGGAAAATACTGACTTTTTGTTTCTTTAGTGGAAGCACCAAGGCCTCAGCTCTCTTTAATGCAATATGAGCCTCAGTATGCTCAGGGATCTGTGGAATAGCTGTTCAGTACACATGGCATGAGAATTGAAGCCAAGCCTGGCTTTATGAAAGAGCTTGTGTTTGGGTGGGAAAAGGGCACATGGTCACAGGTGCTAGTGGTGAAAGACCTGGGGATAGAAAGGTCTGACCCACTTCTGTCCCTTTTCTGAGCAAGTGGCAGTCATTTCTAAGATGTCTCCTCTCTACAACTTTGCCCTTTTTTCTTGCCTCCACAATCTCTTGTACTAACTCCTCTTTGGCAATGAAACCCGTAGAAAGACTATGCAGAAGCAACTAATGGGGTTGCTAATGCTAATGAGTATGTGTAGATAAAAAGGCTGACTTGGGTTTGGAACATACACAATTTAATGCTTCTAGGCCACATGATCTGGGTTAAATGCATCATCATCATCTTGAACTGCAGTCTCCTTACCTTTGAAATGGGACTGGATTTTTGAACTTTCATATGAGTTGTGAAAACACAAAGAAAATAAAAATTGTAGTCGTACCCCTGCATCAAAACTCTTATTCCCTGAAAGCAATGTAATCCTCAGTTTGAAACACAGAACCCCGATCTCAGTTCCTTTGTGAAAACTGGGTCTATGAGCAAAAGTGAGTAATGTGAAGCCATTTTAGACTGTATTTATTCCACTTATGAGAGTATGCATTTATTTCCCTGTAGGAATATTAATGTGCTTGCTTCAGTGGTGCTAATCTAGCCATTGCTGAACTGTTAGAACTGTGGCTATATATGCTGTATTTCTTTTGCAAAGTTTGAAAATCTGCCAGCTCTGGAAACCTAGCATCAATTTTAGATGACTGCTTATGGAATTTTATTACTAAAATGCTTACGTGTATGTTACTAGTTTTGGGTTTAGCTATCTATGTATATACAAACTCAGTTGAAAGAAAGGCCTCCATCAGATGGCCTATAGGCAGGTCTGTGGAAGCATTTTCTTGATTAATGATTGATGTGGGAGGGTCCAGCCCATTGTTTGCAGTGCTACTTGTGGGCAGATTTAAGGAAGGTGGCTGAACAAGAGCCTGAGGAACAAGCCAGGCAACAGCATTCCTCCATGGTCTCTGCTTCAGTTCCTGCCTCTGCTTTTTCTGATGATGGAGTGTGTAACTTCAAGCCAAATAAACCCTTTCTTCCAAAAGCTGCTTTTGGTCATGGTGTTTTACCACAGCAATAGAAGTCTAACTCAGACAATTATTTAGCTATTGCATAGTGTTCTTGTTGTTCTAGCACAAGCAGCTTCACTCTGGAGTTTGTGAAAAGGCTTTATTGCTTGAAAAGGGTTTAGCCTATAGTTCCAGGCACAGAAGTAATGTTTAATGTGAGCGATTTGATTATTTCATAGAAATATTAATATGGAAGCCTTTATAATTGAAACTAACACCTCTAAGGGTCCATGTAGAGGAATGCTTCCACCTGTACCATGTAAACTAGTGGGCACCTGTCCAACAATTCACCTCATGGGCAACATATATTATTAAAGCAAGATTCTTGGTTTTCTTCATGGAGCTAGTATGACAATAGAGTTTTGGTGTTTTCACAACTATGGCTCTTGCAATTTGAAGTCACAGTTCCCCACAGAAAGGGCAGGCCTGCTCCTAACTGAATAGTGAATGACAAATTGCAAGGCAGAGGGAAGAGTTTTCTCACTCCGAGGGCTCCTTTCCAAATTCACCATGAGTGATGTATTCTTTCACTTTTCTGTCAGGGCCGAGGTCAGAGCTGAATTTGCAGTTTTCCTTAGTACCTGTGAGAAAACCCAAGGAGATGGAGAAGAGGCACTTAGGAATTGGGGGCGGCGGGGGGCTGGGGAAGGAAGCCAGAAAGCAGTGAGCTTATATGAGTCGAAGTGCGTGTGAGAGCTCCCCCAGTGACTGTAAATATTGTGTGCACCTGGGACTTGTGTGATCTGTGTCCCTGAGGTGTCACATAGCAGATTCCATCTGGGCCTGCACAGACTGACTGCAGATACAAGCCAGACATAAGATTTTTGTGTGCCCTAATACTTTTGAATATTAGAGCAATGATAAAATAGTAGCAGTAAGCAAAAGAGTAGTTAGAGACAATGGAATTAGTTCTGAAAAAAAAAGAAAAAAAACTTAAACCAACTTGAAATTTATCATTCTTTTTAATCCAGTCTTTTCCCACTTGTTTGTTTTGAAGATAGTAGTTGAAAATGGTGAGGATTAGAAGTCCTATAGAAATTACGTCCTGGCCTTGGTGACTCATGCCTGTAATCCTAGTGCTGAAGAGATAGAGGTAGGAGGGTCACGGCGAGTTAGAGGCCAGCCTGGTTGACACATCAAATTCTAGGCCAGCTAGGATTAAATAGTGAAACCCGTCCAAACATACAAAAACGAAACAAAAATTTGGAGTGTTTGCCTATTCATTTCAATGACTCCAAACAGTGGTTTGCCTTTTCCGTAAGAATGGTTGGGAGAGAAACATCTTTTTTTTTTTTTTAACCTGGAGGAACTGCCCACATAACCAAAACCTACATCTCTAAATTTATGTACTGGGGTGGGCTATTCATTCTTTTTTAGCTGAAAACTCATTGGGTTTTCATTACTTCGAGGAGAAATGTATTCTGGCATTAATTATGTTACAAAAATTGCTTAGAGTGTCACCCTTCCAATGTCATTAAAATATTGGCAGTTTTTTGAAAAATTAGTTGGTGTACATCTTTTCAGCCAGCAATTGTGTTGCAGCTGGAAGATGGTTAGAGATGAGTATAAGGAATATTGGAACCTTCTGTTTGTCTCATTTTTGTAATAATTTTTAAAGCTCATAGATGTAGCCAAGTATAGTGCCTCATACCTGTATTCTCAGGACTTGGGAGGCTGAGGCAGGAGAATGGCTATGAGGTTGAGGACAGCCAGTATTTGAGTATGGAATTATATTTTCTTCCCATAGCCTCTTACTTTCCAGGAAGACATCTTCAAAGAATGGTCCCAAGGCTCCATTTGAAGGGACCCAGCAGAGGGTGCAGGACTTCTTAGATACTTAGCTTGGGATATCACAAGAAGCCATTCCTACGACTTGTATTGATCAAAGAAAGTGACAGAGAGAGCCCAGCGAATCCACTTGAATCTGGGCAAATGGACTTTGTTGTTGCAGAGGAAGTGTACCCAGCTTAGTTTGCAGGGAAATATGTAGAGTGGAAGAAAGACCAACAATTGTTCCATTTATATTCTAGTTCTATACCCTGGAGAGACTGGGGACAATCTCACAAAACTAGGACCAGTAATTTCACCCAGCTTTCTCCTGTACACGTTGAAGGTAGTCATTTTATATGGTGAAGTTCATCCAGAGAGACATTTGAGGAGAAATGTTGAAGCCAGGGTTTACAAACTGGTTGATTTGAGACTTTTGTTTAATCTGGAAAAGAACAGTGCACAATTTCCAGTGCTTGTTATTAATCCTATGATTTCCTTTTTAAATAGCTGCTGCCATCATGAGCAAAGTAAATCTTTCTGTGGATCCTTGTGAAAATTTCTTCCGGTTTGCCTGTGATGGCTGGATAAACAATAACCCAATTCCTGAAGATATGCCCAGCTATGGAGTTTATCCTTGGCTGAGACACAATGTTGACCTCAAGTTGAAGGGTAAGTTTCTACTAGAGTTTTGTGGTACTCTTTCCAGAGCAATTGACAAGAAAAATAGATCATTATTTGAATTTGGACTATCCAGTTTTAAAACTATACCAAATTCATTTCCCAAAACTGTTTTAATAGAAGATAGAAGGCTTTCTGAATTTCAGTTTCCCTGATTTCCTTAACATAAGCCCACTGTAGGTTTTTACTTTTCCACTTGATGATGCAACAGCAAATTCTATTGCAGGAGGTTAAATAACACTTGATAGAGCTTGAGACCATGGAGATAGTTAATGACCAGTATGCTATATCAAGAAACTTATTTGTCTACTGTGTTCAAGGTAAACCTCATTTCTTCCTTACTGTCTTTGGGATTTTCATGGCTTACAGAATATACTTCACACCTCATCATGGTCTTGTGACATCATTTTTGGGAACTCTGGATGACCCATGGTTGTCATATTGTTTGTGTTATTTTCCAAATTAGGTTTTAGGACACTCACTTTCCTTCCATGACCTCTGGAGCAATGACAAGTTCACATACACATACTCACATGTGCGATCACATATTTTCATGTGTGCTTGAGTACTGCTGCCAAAAGTTGGAAACGTCTGTTGCTGGACAAGTCTGTGTTTGCGTTGATTCTAATTTTTATGTTAAGCTGTTGGAGCAAGTTAGTTAAGGGGGGAGTAGCAAGATTTCAAAAGTAGGAAAGGTAAATTTTTTGTTTTTTGTTTTTTTTTTTTGAGACAGGGTTTCTCTGTGTAGCTTTGGAGCCTATCCTGGAACTCGCTCTGGAGACCAGGCTGGCCTCGAACTCACAGAGATCCGCTTGCCTCTGCCTCCTGAGTGCTGGGATTATAGGCGTGCGCCACCAACGCCCAACTAAGGTAATTGTTTTGAGGGGATACAAATCATATTTTCCCTCTTTTTGATAACTGTGAAGTATGTTGTATAACTTGTATTCAGTAACAAAGAATTTTGGGGACCTGAGAAGAATTGCATTTTTTTCTTTCCCACCTCTATTTTTCCAAGATTTTATGTGTGTGCATATTAAATATGCACCAATTTGTATATTTTATGTAATGTGAAACCATTGGCAAAATAATTAGAAACCTATTTTAACTGTGAGAAAAATGTATTTTCACAAATAGATATAAATCACATAAGCTTACATTTTTTAATTGGGATGCTTAAATTTAGTCTTGATAAATTATAAATAAGAGTTTTGAAGAATATGGGGGGGGGTTTCCTCTAACCTGACAGAGGAGATTCCTGTGCTGTGGAGCCATAAATGACACGTTGAGCAGTGAATTTGTAGACAAATACTTATTTCTCTGCAAGGTTTAAAAAAAACACTTTCTTTTATTTTATGTATATCAGTGTTTTGCTCCCATGCATGTATGTGCACCACATGCTGCAGAAGCCAGAACAGGGCATATGATTTTCTAGAACTCCCATTAAGGATGCTTGTGAGCTACCATGTGGGTGCCGTGCAAGACTACCAGGTGCTTTTAATCACTAGTCATCTCTTCAGCCCCTCTACCATCATTGACTATTTCCAATTTCCCTTCTGTGTCTTTTCTTTCTTGGAAGACAGATGAGTGTTCATTACGCGCATGCGCATACACATATGCATGTACTCATGCATGCCGGACTACCATTGAGTAAGAAAACTTCAAAAATTCTGGATAGATGTTCTTTTTATGTTGGTGGTATCTTAATATAAAATTTATAATCAGCATTGGCGTGATTTGTTTGAGGAAGACGCTGTCTACGATAGTGGTTCTCAACCCTTCGAATGGTGCGGCACTTTAATACAGTTCCTCATGTTGTGGTTATCCCGAACCATACAGTTCCTACTTCATAACTGTATTTTTACTATTGTTATGAATTACAACATGAATATTTTTGAAGCAAGAGGTTTGCCCAAGGGGTCTCTAACTCCAAGCTGAGAAATGGTCTATGAGCTGCTTCAGAATTTGTAGAATTGAGAGCAAATTGTTGAGCAAAGTAAAGTTGCTCTGCTTGTTTCTCTTAAAAATGAAACTTCTGATATTTTTCCTCATGTGTATATGTGATGTGTGTGCTCATGTGTTTGCATGTGTATGGGAGCAAGTGTGTGTGTGTGTGTGTGTGTGTGTAGGACTAAGGTTGACAATGTGAGTCTAACTTGATCACTCTACACCTTATTCATTGAGCATGTATCTCTCAATGGAATCTAGAACTTGGCAATATGGCTAATCTGGCTGACATGGATAACTAGTTTGATATGGTGGGATCCTCTCTCCTCACCCTCTGAGGGCTGCAATTACAGAAGAACTTCCATACTCACTGGGTATTTGTGTGAGTTCTGGGAATCTGAACTCTTTATGCTTGCTTGCCAAGTGCTTTAATCACTGAGCCATCCCTCACCTCCAAAACCTGTGTTTTTATTTAACTGAATTAAAAAAGTAGAAAGTTTCTATAAATCTACCTTTAGACACAATTGCTAACAAAACAATTATATTTGTATATATTGTAAGTTTTGTCCCTTATGAGTCTATATGCATAACTTCTTATGCATACTCATATCTTTTGAAAACTAGCTGATATATATGTGACTAAAACTTGTTAATAAATAACACATGGATAACATAAATAGATAACATAGTAGTAAGTAGCCTTGTGTGCACATCTCTATGACCTTATCTAACTATATCCTTGGAATAAATCCTCAGAAATGGGACTGTTGGATTGAAAGTATTTGTAATTTAGTTTTGACTCATATACTCAAATTACCCATAGGAAGGTTTACTTCTAGGCTTTTCTATTTTCTTGGTTTCTGAAATAACTCTTTTCTGTCTCCTCTTTGCTCCCCCTGGTCTCCCCCCCACCCCGTGTGTGTGTGTGTGTGTGTGTGTGTGTGTGTGTGTGTGTGTGTGTATGTGTGTGTGTGATGTAGAGTCTTAGCCAACTGTGACTGATGAGCCCTATCCAGCCCACTTTCCTATTTTTGTGAACATGGTTTTACTAGGACACAGCCACTTTTACTGAGGTACACACAATCAATGGCTGCCTTCATTGCAGCAGTAGTAAAGTTGAGAAGTTGCTAGAGAAGCCACATGGCTAGCACAGCCTGAGATATTTACTCTCTGATATTTATGGAACAAGACTGACAACTCTTTTTTTTGGCAACTTATTTTTTATAATTAATTTATATTTATTTTATGTGCATCAGTGTTTTGCCTGCATGTATGTCTGTGTGAGGGTGTTGGATCTTGGAGTTACAGACAGTTGCTGTGAGCTGCCATGTGCGTGCTGGGAATTGAACCGGGGTGCTCTGGAAGAACAGTCAGTGCTGAGCCATCTCTCCAGCCCCAAGACTGATAACTCTAGATAATAAAAGCAAGCTTTGTTATATTTATACTACATTTGATTAGACTGGTCAGTACATTTTTGATAGCGTCTCTGAGACTTTTAGATAGTAATCATAAAGTTAAGAAAGATTTATTCATTTTCCTCCCTCCCTGCTTCTCTTTTGGTTAGAATCCTCAAAATGGTGTTGACCAAAGTCAATGATAATGGGTATAAATTTTCTTATTCCTACCTTGAATAGTAGTGGATCTAGTTTATGTCATCTGACATGTGTTATTGTTAGACCCCCCAGAAAACTCAGGCCTGCGGGGTCTTAGGCCAGGACCGAGGTCACCCCAATCACCAGGTGGATTTGAAAGCTTGCTGCATACAGCATGAGGCTTTATTGTTGTTTAACGAGCTAACCCCATGTTAGCTCGGGTCTTTCACCCACCCGCCATGGTGGATGGCCAGCAAAGACAGCTCGAACCAGCTGCATAGAGATCTTATAGGGCAGCGTAAGGGGAGTGTCTAGGGGTATGCACAGGCTCAGGATTGGTGAGCCTCCAGGCTTTGAGGGCTTGCCCTGTGTTGATTGGCCAATTGGTTGTTATGGCCCATAGGCCCTCCCAGGGTGGTTGCTATGTTCTGCATGTCATTGCTGTGCACTTGTCAGTAAAGCACACCCAGAGCTGTAAAGCATAGCGCCACCAGCTAACTTCTGATTGGTTCCTTGCTACGAGGCAGGCATCTGACCTCTCAGTGACCAAGGCAAGGTCATGGTGAGCACGTGTTACTGTCATGGCTGCCGAAATGGGGAGCTGGTTCCTTCATTATATTCTTTTTCTGATAGTTATGCTAGTATTTCTTATTGTTTCCTATTGTACAAAAGGGCCTGCTCACTTTTTGCCATTTAACAGGACTGACTTCAACCTTCTTTAGATTTCCTCATGCTAAACTAAACTCATAATTTTGAAATAAATCTTATCTATGAATGTTTCATTTTTAAGGATGGCTAGAATTCACTCAGTACTTTGTTGCATGTATTTGTGTCTGTGCTTATGACTCATATGTTTCTATGTTTTTGTGTGGTAGTTTTGTCTAATTCAGTTACAAAGATTGTGTTCGCCTTGTAAAACAAGTAACAGGCTTCTTGTATATTTCTAAGTTTTGTAAAAGACAATTCAAAGTCCTCCTGTGACAGGCACTGTAATTGACAAATGTATAAAGTGCACACAGGACTTGTGTTCTTCATTGTAAGCCATTCAGAGTATTCACTTTTTAAGCCTGGAGGGTAGGATTTGCATCCTGGTTTCCTTTCTTTTTTTTATTATTTTTTCATTTATTTTACATACCAATCATACTTTCCTCTCCCTCCCTTCCCTCTTCCTGTCCCATCCTCCCACCTCCCATCTATCCCCCCCAAATCCACTTCTCTTCCTTTCAGAAAGGGGCAGGCCTCCCATGGGCTTCAAAAAGGCATGGCACATCAAGTTGAGGCAGGGCCAAGCTTCCCCCATTCCTGCTTCAAGGCTGGGTGAGGTAATCCACTGTGGGGCACAGTTCCCAAAAGCCACCTCATGCATCAGGGACAGGTCCTGATCCCACTGCTAGAAGCTCCACAAACAGACCAAGATACACAACTATCACCCACATGCAGAGGGCCTAGGTTGGT